CCCCCTGCCGGCTGGCTATGCAGCTACAAGACAACCAACCATGATAGCAGCCTGCTGTGACTTCCTCCTGGCTAGCCTGCACCTGGCTCACAAACCAGCAGCTCCTGCCCTGGTGTCAGGCCAGTGAGAGGGAAGCCCCACCTACAGCAGCTACAAACACAAAGCATAAAGGCTTACACCTGTGTGTTCAGCCCACTGGTTCTGGCAGTGGAGACAGGTATAGCAGCCAGAAAGCAAGAAACAGCTCTTTTCTCCCCCCACGCACTGCACCACTCCCCTGTGACCCCCAACATTGCTCCAGGGGCTAAGCAGCTCAAGAGAGTAGAGCTTCTGGGCACTAGAAGGCACCACATACAAATATGAAACATCAAAGGAACCTGATTCAAAGCAAAATCTCAACACTAGAGAAAGGACTGAGTGAGACTGAATTAATAAATCTTCCTGAAAGAGATTTCAAAATAAAAATCATAAACATGCTCATGGAGGTACAGAAAAATATTCAAGAACTCAGAAACGAATTTAGGACAGAGATCCAGATACTGAAGAGCAACATGGAGGGTATTAACAGCAGATTAGATATGGTGGAGGGGACGATAAATGAAATAGCAGCTAGGGAAGAGGCATACAAAGAAGCTGAGGCACAGAGAGAAAAAAGGATATCTAGGAATGAAAGAATACTGAGAGAACTGTGTGACCAATTCAGACGGAATAATATTCTTATTATAGGGGTACCAGAAGAAGAAGAGAGAGAAAAAGGGATAGAAAGTGTCTTTAGGAAGTAATTGCTGAAAACTTCCCCAAACTGGGAAAGAAGATAGTCTCTCAGGCTATGGAGGTGCACAGATCTCCCAACACAAGGGACCCAAGGAGGACAACACCAAGACATATAATAATCAAAATGACAAAGATCAAGGATAAGGACAAACTATTAAAAGCAGCCAGAGAGAGAAATAAGATCACAAAAAAAGGAAAGCCCATTAGGCTAACATCTAACATCAGACTTCTCAGCAGAAACCTTACAGGCCAGAAGGGAGTGGCATGATGTATTTAATGCAATGAAGCAGAAGGGCCTCGAACCAAGAACACTCTACCCAGCAAGATTATCATTTAAATTTGAAGGACAGATTAAACAATTTTCAGATAAGCAAAAGCTGACAGAATTTAACTCCCACAAACCACCTCTATGGTGTATTTTGGAGGGACTGCTATAGATGGAAGTGTTCCTAAGGTTAAAAAGCTGTCACCAGAGGTAATAAAAAGGGATACACAAAGAGTACAGAATATGATACCTAATATCTAAAGTACAGAGAAAGAAAAAAGGAGGGGAAAAAAAAGAACCTTTACATTGTGTTTGTAATAGCATACTAAGTGACTTAAGTTAGACTCTTAGATAGTAAGGAAGTTACCCTTGAACCTTTGGAAACCATGAATCTAAAGCCTGCAATGGCAATAAGTACATACCTATCGATAATCACCCTAAATGCTGAATGCACCAATCAAAAGACATAGAGTCACTGAATGGATAAAAAAACAAGACCCAACGACATGCTGCCTACAAGAGACTCACTTCAAACCCAAAGACATACACAGACTAAAAGTGAAGGGATGAAAAAAGATATTTCCTGCAACTAAAAGAGAGAAAAAAGCAGGAGTTGCAGTACTTGTATCAGATAAAAAAGACTTTAAAAGAAAGTCACAAGACAAAGACGGACATTACATGATAAAGGGGTCAATCCAACAAGAGGATATAACTATTATAAGTATCTACGCAACCAAGACAGGGGCACCTACATATGTGAAACAAATACTAACAGATTGAAAAGGGGAAACAGAATGCAATGAATTCATTCTAGGAGACTTCAACACTCCACTCACTCTGAAGGACAGATCAACCAGACAGAAAATAAGAAAGGAGATAGAGGCACTGAACAACACATTAGAACAGATGGACCTAACGGACATCTACAGAACTCTACACCCAAAAGCAGCAGGATACACATTCTTCTCAAGTGCACATGGAACATTTTCAAGAACAGATCATATACTATGCCACAAAAAGAGCCTCGGTAAATTCAAAAAGATTGAAATTGTACCAACCAGCTTCTTCATACAAAGGTATGAAACTAGAAATAAATTACACAAAGGAAACAAAAAAGCCTACAAACACATGGAGGCTTAACAACATGCTCCTGAATAACCAATGGATCAATGACCAGGAGCTGGTTCTTCGAGAAAATAAAACAAAATAGATAAACCCCTAGCCAGACTTATCAAGAAAAAAAGAGAGTCTACACACATAAACAGAATCAGAAATGAGAAAGGAAAAATGACTACGGACACCACAGGAATACAAAGAATTTTTAGAGAATACTATGAAAATTTATATGCTAACAAACTGGATAACCTAGAAGAAATGGACAACTTTCTAGAAAAATATAACCTTCCAAGGCTGACCCAGAAAGAAACAGAAAGTCTGAACAGACCAATTACTAGCACTGAAATTGAACTGGTAATCAAAAAACTACTTAGGAACAAAACTCCTGGATAGATGGCTTCACCCCTGAATTTTATCAAACATTTAGTGAAGACCTAATACCCATCCTCCTTAAAGTTTTCCAAAAGGTATAAGAGGAAGGATTATTTCCAAACTCATTCTATTAGGCCAGCATCACCCTAATACCAAAACCAGGCAAAGACACCACAAAAAAAGAAAATTACAGACCAATATTCCTGATGAACATAGATGCAAAAATACTCAACAAAATATTAGCAAACTGAATTAAAAAATATATCAAAAAGATCATCCATCATGAGCAAGTAGGATTTATTCCAGGGATGCAAGGATGGTACAATATTACAAAGTCCATCAACATCATCCACCACATCAACAAAAAGAACAAAAACCACATGTTCATCTCCACAGATGCCGAAAAAGCATTTGACAAAATTCAACATCCATTCATGATAAAAACTCTCAACAAAATGGGTATAAGTACTTCAACATAATTAAGGCCATATATGACAAATCCATGGCCAACATCACACTAAACAGCAAGAAGCCAAAAGCCTTTCCCTTAAGATTGGGAACAAGACAAGGATGCTCACTCTCTCCACTTTAATTCAACATAGTTCTGGAGGTCCTAGCCAGGGCAATCAGACAACACAAATAAAAAGCAACCAGATTGGTAAAGAAGAAGTTAAACTGTCCCTGTTTGCAGATGACATGATATTGTACATAAAAACCGTAAAGAATCCAGTCCACAACTACTAGATCTAATAACTGAATTCAGCAACATTGCAGGATAGAAAATACACAGAAATATGTTGCACTTCTACACACTAATGATGAACAGAAAGAGAAATCAAGAAAACAATTCTGTTCACAATTGCATCAAAAAGAATAAAATACCTAGGAATAAAC